CCCTGCGGACCCTGCCGCTGGGGCCTTCGGTGGAGTTCCTACAGGGCCACAAAGCGTGTGAGGGGCGTGCCGAATCGGGTTCGGGGCCGCCATGCGGATTCAGCCGCTGGGGCCTTCGGTGGAGCTCCCTATGGTGTTACGAAGCGAGTGAGGGGTGTGCTGACTCGGGCGCGGGGCCGCCATGCGGACCCTGCCGCTCCTTATGGAGCCACGAAGCGTGTGAGGGGTGTGCCGACATGGACATGCGGAGAGCAGAGGCAGGAATGGGAGGAGGAAGGAGGCGGGAGAACGCGGGGCGCTGTCTCTTCAAAACGAGGACCCAAAACCACAGGATTGTTGGGACAAGTTGTGTGTAGTATGGTTTGGTGGCCATGCTCCTCGCGCAGGTCCTCCTGAGCAAGAGGAGGAGGAGGAAAAGGAGGAGGAGGAGCAGGAGGAGGAGGAGGGGGAGGAAAGAGAGAGAGAGAGGTAGTGTGTGTGTGAGAAAGAGAGAGGGAAAGAGAGAGAGAGAGAGAGACATAGGGAGAGAAAGAGATGCAGAAAGGGGGGAGAGAAGGAGAGACATCAGCGATTGGGGTAGGGGGGTGCTGGGGGGCTCACCATACACATACGTAAACATAGATTAACAGCATATACCATATATATATATATGGATGTGTGTGTGTGTGTTTGTGTGTTTGTGTGTTTGTTTGTTTGTTTGTTTGTTTGTTTGTTTGTTTGTTTGTTTGTTTGTTTGTTTATTTGTTGTTTGTTTGTGTGTGTGTGAGAGAGAGCGTGCGGCTCCCGCCCGGCACCGCACCCCCGATGCGTCGCCGGCGCACCGTCGGTGCACAGGCGGTGCAGCGGTCAGGGGCCCCCAAACGGTGTGGTTACCACACCGCGTGGTGAGTCAGTGGGAATTCGGGGTCACCGCTGGCTTCGGGATTCAGGTCGTTCTCTGAGACAGGGGCCTCCGAGGTCCTCAAACCGTGCGGTGACGGACCGCGCGGTGAGGCCGTTGGGACTCCGAGGTCACCGCGCAGTTCGTCACAGCACGGTTACCAGATCCCGGGCGTCATGATTTTTCCCAACCATCTTGTGGTGTTGGGTCCTCGTTTTGAAGTAACGGTCCCCGCGTCCCTCCTCCCTCCTTCCTTCCTCCTCCTCCTCCCCCTGCTCCCTGCGTTTCACCCACCCAGTACAGCGTTTCGTGGCCCCATAGGGAGCTCCACCGAAGCGCCCAGCGGGACCGCCCGCATGCGTCCCGGAAACCCAATCTGGCATTTTCGCCCACCCAGTGCAGCGTTTCGTGGTCCCAAAGGGTGCTCCGCCGGAGACCCCAGTGGGACCGCCCGAATGCGTCCCGGAAGCCCAATCTGGCATTTTGACCCACGCAGTACACCGATTCGTGGCCCCATAGGGAGCTCCACCGAAGCCCCCAGTGGGACCGCCCGCACGCGTCCCGGAAACCCAATTTGGCATTTCGACCCACCCAGTGGAGCGTTTCGTGGCCCCATCGAGAGCTCCACCGAAGCCCCCAGTGGTACCGCCCACATGCGCGCCGGAAGCCCAATGTGGCATTTTGACTTACCCAGTGCAGCGTTTCGTGGCCCCATAGGGACCTCCACCGAAGCGCCCAGTGGGACCGCCCGCATGCGCCCCTGAAACCCAATTTGGGTTTTCACCCACCCAGTACAGCGTTTCGTGGCCCCGTAGGGAGCTCCACCGACGGCCCCGGTGCTCCGCCCGCATGCGTCCCGGAAACCCAACTTGGCTTTTTTTGCCCACCCAGTACAGCGTTTCGTGGGCCCGTAGGGAGCTCCACCGACGGCCCCAGTGCTCCGCCCGCATGCGTCCCGGAAGTCCAATTTGCCATTTTTCGCCCACCCAGTACAGCGCTTCGCGGCCCCATCGGGAGCTCCACCGAAGCGCCCAGCGGGACCGCCCGCATGCGTCCCTTAAGCCAAATTTGGCATTTTCACCCACCCAGTGCAGCGTTTCGTGGCCCCATGGGGAGCCCCACCGAAGCTCCCAGTGGCACCGCCCGCCTGCGTCCCCCACACCCAGTACAGCGTTTCGTGGGCCCGTAGGGAGCTCCGCCGACGGCCCCAGTGCTACCGCCCGCATGCGTCCCCCACACCCAGTACAGCGTTTTTTGGGCCCGTAGGGGTCTCCACCGACGGCCCCAGTGCTACCGCCCGCATGCGTCCCCCCACCCAGTACAGCGCTTCGTGGCCCCATAGGGAGCTTCACCGAAGGCCTCGGGGCTACCGCCCGCATGCGGCGCCATGACCGAGATCGGCAGCACCTTCCCTCGGTGGAGGCACGCCGCGGCACGCCGCCGATATTCGAAGAAGGGAAAACGCCATAAACACAAACTTTTGGAGTTCCGCGCGGGTTTCTCGGATCCGCGCTGGGCCCCCCCCAGGCGACGCTCTGGCGCCGCCCCTGGCGCGCTCCGCGCGCCAGGCAGGGGGGTCCAGCGCAGATCCGAGAAATCCGCGCGGAGCGCCAACAGTGTAACAGTTTGTGTTTATGGCGATTTCTTGTTTCTTCTTCTTCTTCTTCTTCTTCTCTGGACACTGGTGTTGATGTCAACCTCCAGGCCTCCCAGAAGCGCGATCCTCCGACCCCCGCGGGGCCTTCAGGCGGGGGCCCTGGAGTCTCCTCTTCCTCCCCGCGGGGGGGGGGATGAGCAATAAAAGTACCCCTAAACCTGTTGGGAGGGGGCCTAAGTTAGGCGGGCCAAGAACATCAGGGATCTTTGTTTTTTTGTCTGCGGATGCATCAGACCGAACCGCCCATCCCTGATGCGAAGACGGGGACCTCGGTGACGCGGCGTCTTCATGGTGTTATTAAGGCTTTTTTTGGGGGGGGGTGGGGGGTGGGGTGTTTTTTGTCACCTCCCACCAAACAACCCCAACCCAACCCCCGAAGGCTTCAATTTGCACATGGGACCCGCCCCGCCCCCCCCACCCGAACGCCAGGTCAGATTCGGGCCCTGGGGTTGGGTTGGGGTGGTCTGGCAGGCAGTCACTGGTGCATTAGTGAATTGTTAGGAGAGCGCAAGCGAAAGCGAAGCTCTCCCGAAAAAGTTCACAGTTCAGACAGCGAGATCGGAAGCGAACCGCTCGGAAAAAAGTCGATAGCTTCGCCTTCACGTGTCGCGAGGACAGTCTTCCACGAGGGGGGGCGTGCCGTGCCCCCCCCCCCCCCGCGGGGGGGAGCCCCTCGGGCCTCACCCCTGGGGGCCCTCTGGCGCGGGCCCCGCCCTCGGCGAGGACGCGCCCGCTCGGCGGGGGGGCCGTCCGGCGGGGGGGCTGCCCGGCGGAGGCCGGCGGCCTCCCCGCTGGTTCGTTTCGAGAGTTCTTGGATTTTCGAGAGGTCCTTGATCTTCGACAGTTCTTGGATTTCGAAGTTCGAAAGCTCATCGATTTTCGAGCTTCGAAAGCTCTCTGATCCTCGCACTTCGAGAGGTCGGGTTCGGGGCTCGAGAGTTCTTTGATTTTCGAAATTTCTTTGATTTTTGTTGGGGGGCCAAGATCCTTTCATTTCTAATTGTTCTATCCTGGGCCTCTTCTTGGCCACTAGGCGGCCAGGAACAAGTAGAGACGAGTACGATTAGAAGTGAGCGCGATCAGAAATGAACGACGTGTAAGACTCGAGTAAGCCGGAACTCGGGTCGGCCGGCTTTTTTTTGACGAGCGCGTCCTGGATTTGGACGGTCCCATTGTCGTGGGAGGTCTGCAGCGGGGGCCCGCGTCAGATGTCGGATTGGATCTCGTCACTTTTTGTGGTGGCCCCCGTCGGGCCAGCCCGAGTCTTATGATGCTCCAACCTACTTTAACCTTGATCACCAGGCAGAATTTCGAGCGCCCAAACAGATACCGAAACTCAAGGGTTTTCGGTTTGCACGTGTCGGGCCCTGGGAGGCACTCGCCCGTCACTGTTTGGACACTGTTTCGACACGTTTTTGACACTTTTCCGGGTGCTCGAAATTATTTTTGGGATGCGGTCCTTAAGTTGCGGGTCGGGCGAAAGGGGGGGATTGGGAAAGGGGGGGGCCGAGGGGGATACATGGCCGCCTCCGGCGCCGGGAGGCGCCGGGGAAATCAGCTACGTGAGCTGATTCTCAACCCCCCCCTTTGCTATCCCCCCCTTTCGCCCGACCCGAAAGTAGGCCGGGAGCAATATGGCCCGAGTCCCCCGTGCCCGAGTCGTACGTCCCCCCGGCGGGAGGTCGAGCGGCGGTGTGCCCCCGGCGGGAGGCCGGCGTCAAGGCCTGCCGTGGGACGTCAGGCAGCGCCCACAGGGTCTGGGCTTGAGTCGGGCGCGTCCCTCCACTCAGTATCGTTTCAGCGACCCCCATCCCCATCCTCGGGAGAGAAAAAGATACGGATACGTGTTGTCCCCCTTCGTTTTCGGCCTTTCCTGGTCCTCCTGGGGAATCCTCGTTGTCACCGCTGGATTCGCCTCGAAATTCTGGTCAGAACGCACCCCAAGAGAGGTCCGGGGACCGCCCCCCAACCAGTTGGGGGTACGCCCCTCGAAGCCCGAGGGGAGCGGCCCGTGTCCCCTCTTGGGGGGCACATCGGCCAGTGGGGCCCGGGCCACGCCGCTGGGGATGGGGGATCGGTGGAACGATGCCGGCTGCTGGGAGACAGTGCCTGCGCTCGGGGGCACGCGGCCGTTCGCCGTTGGTCCTCCTCCTGGTCCCTCCGCCGCCCTCCGTCCTTCTCCCTCCTCCCTCCGTCCGTCCGTCTCCCTCCTCCCTCCGTCCCTCCGAGTGCCGCCCTCTGCCAAGGAGCACTCAAGGCGCTGGAAGAAGGAGCAGTTCGTGTGCGGAAGGGGATCGCTGTTCTTTAGGTTCTTCTAAGGTTGTTCCTCTGGCGCTCTTCCCGCACCCAGGCCCTTCTGGGATCGAAGAGGGGCCACGTTTCCCATGAAGCGTTCCTTGGGAGAGTAGCTTGACCGTGGGTGTAGTGGACCTCTTCGGCTAGGCGAGTGCAGCTGGCTGGCGGATGGCGACGTGGGCCGTCTTTCTCGCGACGCTGGCCGCGCTGGCTGCCCCGCCCAGCTGCTTGGCCACGGAGGAGCGGTCGCCGTGGGGACCGCGGTGCGGCGTGTCTGACACGGGCCTGCAGTTCGAGGGCCAGTCTGCGTACGCGGGCCTGGAGGCGAGGCTGGAGCTCGCCGCATGGGGCGACGCGGTCTTCTCCAGCATCAGCGCTCTGGGAAGCGGCGCGGTGGAGCTCGTGTTCGCTGAGACTGCACGCGCCAAGGCTCAGGAGGGGAAAAAACACACAGACACATTTAATCGTCGATTCCCCAGAAAATATGCCAAAATATGGGAAGTGGGGGGGAAGACGAAAAGCCAGAAAATATGATAAAATATTGGGCATCTTTTTATTTGTGTGTATTTATTTGAGTGTCCTGGGGCCCCTTCAAAGGCGAAGCTGCGCGTCGGGTTCTCGGGCGACGTGTCCATGAGCTTCGCGGGCGTGAGGGTCCTGGTGCAGCGGGCGGCGTATCGGGCCAACGGTCTGGCCGGGGAGGCTGAACTGCGAGTGGAGTTCGAGAGAACAGACGAGGATCTTTGCTTCGAATATTGTGACGACCTGGAGATATCGTCGACGAGGGGGGCAGTGCTGGTTCTGATGGTTTATCGCGCGACGAACTCCAGCGGAGCCGGACCGGCGTTGGCCGCGTTTTTGGAGGGCGCTGCGGAGTCAGACTTAGAAAAAGTGAGCAAGGCAGGTTTCAATCTCAAGGCCACAGTTCAGGATGGCCAGTTTGCTGCCTATTTCCGTGCGGACCCTTTGGTTGCCAAGTCAGGGTGCGGCAGCATGGTTCATATTGTGAAACTAGATCCAATGCCATCCGCAAGCATACCAGATCAGTTCAGCGAGTGGCTGGGGTTGCCAGATTCCGAGCTCCCCACGCCCCAGGCTATACTGTTGTCTCATAAGCCTTTCCCCTCAGTTGGACCTTTCAAGAAGAATGAGATTCACAATCGCAAGATCAGGTTTTTTACGACGAGCGTACTGGTGTGCGTGGTGTTCATTATTCTTTTCCTTATCCTTGAATGGAGGAAGCGCCATCGCACACTTTGCTGTGGGTATCCGTGGAGTAAGCAGCGATCAGTTTCTGATGACACGGGAAGCGCAGAGGAAGACGTTCCGGAGGTAAGGTTGCTGTCGACGTCCTCGCCAGAAACGCCTCTAGAGCCCAGGGATGAATTTCACCGCCTCAGTTCAAGGCACCATGTCCAAGTCAAATCAGCATTAGATACGTATTTCGAGGACTACACCATCCAGGATTTCGAGGACTCGTGCTCGCCAGCTGTCGTTGAGTATTTGCACCTGTTGGACAACCAAGAGCGATGTCATGTGGGCACACGCCATCGGCTAATCTGTCTCTTCTTACACTTCACGTATGTCGGCGTGTGCCTCAATGAGCCGATTAGGGATATTTTCAAGGAACCTGGGGAAATGGTGACGTGTTACCAAGGTATCCCTTGGGAGAGAGTTCACGTGTTGTTATTGCTATTTGTCGTCTTCAAGGTGTTCGAGCTAATACTGCTTGCTTCGAGCAACAAGGCCAGGGGGGAAATTCGTTTGATCATGCTCCCCATCAAGTTCATGGCGGGAGCTATGAGTTTCTCGAACTCCTATTCGGACGTAATATCTATTGTGGTTGCCCGTGCGTGCTTTCAATTTTCCTGGTGGGGTGCCATGGTCGCGATCTTTATCGTCGGAGTTGTGTTATTTCATTGGACATTGTTGACTGTGCTTTCGCTTGTCGAGAAGCCTGCGGCGAACCACCGCGCCCCTGCCTCTCTGGACTCGCCTACGTGGCCAAGCGTTGGGCCACCGTCTGGCCACGCTATTCGACCGTGTGCCCCCCCCCCAGCCGTTGTGGAACCCCTTGGAGGAACACTTGGGGGAGTAAGAGGGGGAGGACGAAGAGGACGAGTACCAGAAGGAGATGGACGAGGATACATAGAATGATGATGATGCTGATGACGAGGATGCTGCTGCTGACGATGATGGTGCTGATGATGCTGATGAGGATGCTGCTGCTGATGATGCTGTTGATGATGCTGATGCTGGTGATGATGAAGCGGAGGAGGCGGAGGAGGCGGATGAGGACTAATCCGATGATGAAACTGATGATGATGCGCATGATGCTGATGATGCTGATACTGATGATGCTGCTGGTGATGACGATGCCGATGACGATGCTGATGTTTATGATGCTGATGCTGCTGATGATGCTGATGCTGATGCATCTGATGATTATGATGATGCTGGAGATGATGCTGATGATGCTGATGCTGAGGCTGATGATGCTCCTGATGCTGCTGACGCTGCTGATGCTGATGCTGCTGATGCGGATTATGATGATGCTGTGGATGATACTTATGCTTACGCTGAAACTGCTGCAGATGATGATGATGCTGATGATGATGATGATGCTGATGCTGATGATGATGATGCTGATGATGATGATGCTGATGATGATGATGATGGTGGTGGTGGTGGTGGTGATGATGATGATGATGATGATGATGATGATAATGATGATGATGATGATGATGCTGACAATGATGATGATGATGATGATGATGATGATGATGATGCTGCTGACAATGATGATGATGCTGTTGATGATGATGATGATGATGATGCTGCTGCTGATGTTGATGATGATGATGCTGATGATGATGATGATGATGCTGATGATGATGATGATGGTGATGATGCTGATGCTGATGATGATGATGATGATGCTGATGATGATGAGAATGATGCTGCTGCTGCTGATGATGATCATGATGCTTATGGTGATGATGATGATGATGATGATGATGATGATGCTGATGATGATGATGATGATGATGATGATGATGATGATGATGGTGGCGACGACGATGAGGATAAGGTTGAATCTGCTGATGATGATGCTGCTGATGACGAAACATCTGACGATGATGATGCTGCTGCTGATGATGATGGCGATGCTGATGATGATGCCGATGCTGATGACGATGACGATGATGATGCTGCTGATGTTGATGATGATCATGATACTGATGATGATGATGCTGCTGATGCTGATGCTGATGATGCTGATGCTGATGCAGATGCTGCTTTTAATGCTGATGATGCTGATGTTGATGTTGCTGATGATGATGATGTCGATGCTGCTGCTGCTGCTGCTGATGATGATGATGATGATGATGATGGTGGTGGTGGTGGTGGTGGTGGTGGTGGATAATGCTGCTGCTGCCGAGGAGGAAGAGGCGGAGGGGAAGGAGGATGAGGAGGCGGAGGAGGAGGGGGAGGAAGAAGAGGAGGGGGGGGAGGAGGAGGAGGAGGAGGAGGAGGAGGAGGAGGAGGAGGAGGCGGAGGAGGAGGAGGAGGAGGAGGAGGATGAGGAGGAGGAAGATGATGCTTCTTGGGGTCTTAGAGCCCTCTTGTCTCGTCTTGGGGCCCTTCGGGAGACTTCTGGGGCCCCCTTCGACTGTCGGACGCCCGAAACGCGACCACGATTAGAACACCTAAAGCACATCACTTAGTCTGAATTCGTCGGGCCCTGCTGGACGATCATCTTGGAGCCCTCTTGGAGCGTCTTGGGGGCCTCTTGGGCCATCTTGGGGGCTTCTCAGGTCATCCTGGAGTCACCTTGAGCAGTGTTGTTGGCACCTTGGGACCTCTTGGGGTCATCTTGGCCATCTTGGAGGCGTCTTGGGGCCGTCGTGAAGGGCCTATCTTGGGCCAACACTTGGCTGTCTTGGAGGCCCTCTTGGAGCCACCTTGGGCGTGAACGCCGATGGCATGTACTTTTGACGCGGCCTTCGGGTGGCCGGCTGGATGAGCCGAGATCCGATTGGGAACCGTTTTGGACGGGCCAAAAGGTGCCCGAACACTTGGCACTCCAAACACCCCTTTGCAATTAAACGGGTGCGGCGGATCGAAGACGCCTACGGCGAGTCACCGCCGCCCCCCTGCCTTTGGAAGCGTCTATGTGGCCGAACTTTTCGGCCAGAGCTCGGCCAAGCTATCGGAATCTGTGTTCCCCCAGTCGTTGCGGAAACCCTTCGTGGAACGGGAAGAAGAAGAGGGAGAGAGGGAGGAAAAGGAGGACACTGAGGAGGAGGAGGAGGACGAGGACGAGAAGGAGGAGGAGGAGGAGGAGGATGAGGAGCAGGAGGAGGAGGAGGAGGAGGATGAGGAGGAGGAAGAGGAGGGGGAGCCTCTTGGGTCAGTGGACCTCCTGGGAGCTTTCTGCGGGCCTCTTAGAGGCCTCTTTAGGGCCTCCTTGGGCCTCTCGTTGGCCTTCGGAGGCTCCTTGGGAGGCTCTTTGGCCGTCTGACGCCGTCGGAAGCTGTCTTGGGAGTCTCTCTGGGCTGATTTGGGGCCGTCTTGGAGGCCATCTTTGGCGTCTTGGAGGTCTCCTGGGCCGTGTCGAGGCCCTCTAGGGGCCGTCTTTGAGGCCGCTTGGGCCGTCAGGGGGCCATCTCGGAGGCCTCTTGTGCGCTCTTGGGCTATCGTGGTGGCCTCAGGGGCCGTCTTGGGCCGTCAGAAAGTCGACAATGAGCAAACGGCCGAATCTTTCAAACACTCAGGGGGAATCAATGATTTTGGCCTCTTGGGGCCGTCCTTGATGTTCTCTCGGAGGCATCTTGGGCCGTCTTGGAGGCCTCTTGGGAGCTGCTTGGGCCGTCTTGGGCTATTTTGAGGCCATCTTCTGCCGTCTTAGGTTGTGCATCTTGGGCCGTCGTGAAGACATCCTGTGGTCATCTTTGGGCTCTCCTAGGGCCATCTTGACCGTCTTGGAGGCCATGATGGCCTGCTTGGGGTAACCCTGGGCCAGCATGAAGCCATGTACGTAGTGCAGACACAATCCTTGCCGACTGGGCTTTCCGCACGGCGGGCGCGACCAGCCGAGACCGCGATGGGAAGTTTTGAAACGGACGAGAAACGTTCGAAGTCCATCACGCCGTGTACCCCCGTGG